GCCTTGTTCGCGGTCACTGGACCAAAGTATGGATTATCAAGAGCGATGGTTATTCATTTGGAGCGTGACGTCACGCAATCGTCCTGTTATTAAGATAGTGTCATGCAATGATACGTCACGCAAGTAGTAATATATGTCACGTAAGCTACGTTTGCCATTAAACTTATCGTGATGTCTAGCGCAAGGAGAACAAACACATTCATGATACAACAAGGACAAGAACTTCCTATACGAATATCATGATGTTTCGCCGACGGCTCTTTTATTTAAAATTTGACTCTCTGAGCTAAGGAGAACAAGCAACTTCAAATTTAAATAACTTAAATTATTGTTTCATTTTCATCTTTTTCATATTCCCCTACAGTGACGTAAAACCCTTATGATATCACGACCACAGTCCTTTTCGAGGTTGTTGGCTGTTATTGGAAGTACTTTTGTTCATAGCGAATTAAAGAAACATGATGAAGCACTAGAATCAGTGACTATACACCTAATAGGCTAACGGTGTTGCTATGTACGTTGCCACCCAATTCAAATCCTGTGGGGAAAAGAATTTTTGTTTCTAAGAATTCAACTGTGAAATGAAAATACAACGAACATTGAAACTTACTCCCGGGTGGTTTGAATTGGCTTGAAGCCGATTAGGTCTATTGTATTTAGTGACTATTTTCTAACAAAATCGAGTTAGCTCAAAACATCGAAAAAGATTACCGAAAAGGATTGTGAAATTAAAAGTGCAAATTGCATCGAGGAAAAGATGCAAGAGACACTTTGTTAACCCCACTTAGGTTATTCCTCTTGCTGAGGACAAAAGTGTATTAATCAACCCACAGATCTTATCGACAAATAGTTTTACTTATATGCACGTATCMTGTTGAAAAATTGAAAAAAGAGAATAAATGTTTTAAGGGACGCTGCTCCAAACCCCAATCCTTTTGCTATTCGACGTTTAAACGCCTACCGCTCTGCAATCATGACGTGTGTCTTCGTATGCGATCCTCAATGTGCGGTGGAGGTTGAAAGCCAGTGAATTTGAATATCAAACAAATAGGACTTCATGTCATAACTACATCTCAGATTTCAAAACCGGAAAAATAGTATCATTATTATTATTATTTTTTTTTCTTATTTTAAATACATATTGCTAAATTATTTTACAACGACGTGGAATGGTTTTGTTGCGAATTAGAGTTCTGGTATGACTGAAGACGGGGGTAACTAATGGGGCATTTAGCCTGACGGGGCTACCCTGAAACTCGACAGGGATGTAATTGGAATCTACTCCTGACTGTTCTAAATATATCACTCAAAAAACAGTATTTTCCTTGCAGCACTGACTTTCTTTTACAAATAACAGTAGCTATTTTTCTCTTCAAAACAGTACTTTTCGAAGAACATGTATGGTTTTTTTTAGTCAATCATCAGATTGGTTAAAAAAGTTACCTAGCAACAAAAACCCACGATTTTCGAACTTGCTATAACGTGAAAAGCATTTTTCCGCGATATCAGTTCAGTTCAGTGAGAGCACGATTCAGAGAAAGAAACTAGCACTGTTGAAACAAAAGATTCTTCATTTGAGTAAGTTTTCTCATATAAATACAGACTTACAAGACCTGCCAAGACTTAATGTATCTTAGTCGCAGTCCGCTATTGTATTTTGTAAGATGTTTTCAAAACGACGATCTTGTGAGAGCATCATGTTGAAATTGACGATCATCATGAAAAACATGGCCCGTTAAACATGGAGTGARGTGATCTACGAGGACTGTAGAACCACCTTGTTCTCGTAGAGTCGATTTCATTTGACCGTAAGAGATTGGTCAGACATAATGATTGATTATACTGTAAATATTTTTTATTATCTTTTTTATTCATTATTTATTTTTTATTTTTTTGTCCAACAACTCACTAAATAAGACAGTCAAAGAAAAACGTCTCGTAATTGTAAGGCAATCTCACAGAAAAGAWGGACAGCCTTCTTGGGATAGACTTACTATGAAAGTCGATATTTCATACTGATGTAGTTTGTTAAGTTTTAAAATGGTGTGTTAAAATTGTATATCAATATTGTGGTGTTATAGTTTTATTTCCATTTTTCTAGTCTTGTGTTATATATTACAACAAAATCAGGTTCAGAGAAGACCACGGTGATGTTAGGAGTAACAACAATCCTCCTCGTTCTGTTGGCTTTGAGTTTCCCGGGTTGTGCTGAAGGTAACAACTGTAGATTATATCTATAGAGGATATTACATGAGCGCGTGGAAATATGGATTTTATCTTCGAGTGTTGAAAAGATCTCAACACGAGAAGATTTAATTTGTATTTCTAATAGACCATGTAATATTTTGTTTATCATAATATTACATATGAAAGGAAATTATGTCGTAAAATTAAAATGGAGAAATATAGGATTTTATAGATAATTTGAAACCTAATAAGCTAGCACATTTTCCCGTACGAAAGTTTTCTCGCGAATAGTTACTCATGCACTACAAAAATCCAAATCCACTGTTGCCTTTCCATCCCGATCCCCAGTTTAATCACAGGCAGGTAATCCAAATTATGATTAGCAGGAAAATTGTCACATGAGCTGCCAGATCCCGTCGAGCATTCTCAAAAACGTTAGTTTAACAAGGGCGGCCTCAGTTAGGGACTGTACATTAAATATGCCAAAGGGTGGTCTGGAGGAAAAGTCAAAAAAATCTTGGGAAAATGTGCAACCCCCCTTACTCTATCACAATATTTTTTGAGCCCCTCCTGACACTGAGAAAAAATACCTCCCCCCAAATATGTATAACTAACAATGGAAAATACCTAATCCTAAAACATTTTATAAGAGGAGTCACAAAAAGCAAGTGAATGCTTATGTAGCAAGACCTC